CATCCCTTGTGAGACTCAAGTACTTCCTAAGCATATGTCTCTGCTCCTGCTCAAAGCTGGTGTGGCACTGGTATCTTCCTGGAAGTGTATCAGTGATTTATTCCTTAAGAAGAACAATGGAGCCCTCTAGCTGTTTGTTCCCTTAGAAACTCCCATGAGATCAGGCTGGAGCCCCCTGTCCAGGGTTTGATTCCTTTAGCCATTTGAGAAACACTACACTCTTAAGAGATAAGGGTGGAAGCCCTCACATTTTCCTTAATAATAAAAATCATCATACCTTGTTTAAGGCAATTGAAATAGAAACTTCTTTTAAAAAAAACTTTAAAAGCTTTAAAAAGTTCCAAGAACAAAGGTGGCTCTACTTTTGCATACTCACAGTCACTCCAGTTGAGCTTTATTGGCTGTTCTTTTGTTCCACTCAGGTCCCCAAGCACAGGTTTCTAAATTACCTGAATTTCTGTTAGGAAAAAGAGGGAAAGGGTCTAACCCAGTTCAAAAGAGAAAAGGAGAGAGGTCCATATATTCTCCAAAACTGATGGCTATCTCTTAGCTACAACCTTGAGATTTCTTGATGACCATGAGGCCAGTTGAAAAATAAAAAGGAAAAAAAATGCCAAACAAGCATAGTGTAACCATGTGGTTGACCCACATGACCAACTAAAATGGCTGACAAACATGACAAAATTCATGTGGCCAAGTCACAGGATGAACCAAAATGGCCGCTGAATATGTCAGAAAGGTCGACTGAGATGAAATAAGGCCCTGAGAAAACAATTCACTAATGATACTCAGAGATAAAAGGCTATCTAGAAGAAAATCACAGATGAGACTTGGCATACAAAAAGACATAAACTAGGGTAGGAACCTACTCAAGGAGAACACAAATTACCAATAGCTACTTTTCCCAAAAGAGTGAGAAAGTTGAGCACAGTATTGTGGAGAACAGAAACAGACATGGAGAACAGAAACAAAAAGGCAACTGAACTCCAGGTTGCACATATTGACCCTGAATGATGTGCTGTGCAACTGGGTTAATAATAGGCTTTGTGGAACCTCTTTACTGATGAAAAACAGGAAAGGAAAGAAAGGGGGAGATACAGTGGACCCTTGAGTTACGACTGTCTTGACATATGAACAGCTTGTGTTTCATCTGAAATTTTAGTTTTAACTTAAGAACAAAACCTTGAGTTGTGACCCAAATGCCGGCCCTTGTGCTTCCACATGGTCTCAGATACAGATTTAACTTTCAAAAGGATCTGGAAGGAGCCTTACAACAGCCATTCCAATGTGGGGTTAACTGGGAAATCCTGGGCCATCATCCCAAGAAACACATTTGCTTGTGTCACTCCTCTGCTTTTCATCTTCCATGTGTCCCCATTACTTGTGGGAGAAAGGCAACATTGCTTCACTTACAGAGCAGTTATGAATGAGGCAACACTGTGCCGACATCAGGTACTAGCCTGAGACAGACCTGCTTGTTGTGGCTCTCCTGTTCCCTTCCTGCCTCAACGCTGCACTCCGTGATTCTTGACTTTGACTAATCCTTTGAATTATTTTATTACCTTGGGAACTTTAAAAATAAAAAATCATACAGATGCTTGGGCCCAACCTTCGGAACTTCTGATTTAATTGTGTGGTAGGGGGTGTGGGAACCAGTATATATAAAATTGGGTTAGTTGATTTTGATAACTTGTCCTTTATTCAGCACTGCCTGGCCTCACACCTTTATTTTGCTGTTCCTAACCCCTGCCATGCCATCCCTCAACTATATATGAATTTCCTTCCACTCTCCTCTCAGATGTCTCTATACCATGTGGATTTCTCCAAAAAAAATCTTCTAGCCAGCATTCTCTCCTTCCTCTGAACACATTGGAGCCATCTTCTAATACCCATCAACTTCTACCTGTATTATAATCACCTCTTGCTGTGTCGAAGGAGCTTTGCCTGCTAGACAAAGCTATAATTCCAGCACTCGGAGGCTCAGGCAGGTGGACTGCTGTGAGTCTGAGGCCAGCCTGAACTGCCTAGTGAGACCCTGTCTCAAAAAAAAAAAAGCTATGCCAGTTTGCATTGGTAGTTTCCTGGGGGCAAATATCTATATCTTTATCTTTGTATCCTAACTGCTTTGCCCATGCCTGACAATGTTTGGCATTTACCCAGCATTTATGGAATGGTTGGAAAGATGGATGGATGGATGGATGGATAGATGGATGGATGGGTGAATGGCTGTCTTTAACACACTACCGGGTGAATGGTGACCCATTACTTTGGTATTTTAGGGTGCTCAGCAGAATATCTTCAGTCCAGATTTTATTTCATTTCAGGGGTAATGGCCCCTTGGGCCTCCTTGGAGGAGAGAATGAAAATTACCCTGAAAACATTGAAATGACATCTGTGAAGATGGCCAATCCATACGGCCACTCTCTACCAGGTGCTCCAGGAAACGGCTATGGTAAGCATGTGTTAAGAAAAGATAACATCCCCAAAAGAAAGTAAAAGTCAGTGGATTTATGGTTAAGAAGCCATTGCAATAGAAGAATTGGCTTATTGCTTCCCTTCAAACACCTTCTTTGGATACAAGAGTTTGAGAAGTTAGTGTCTAGAGAAGCCAAGTGTACCTGGTGATCAAAGAGGGCCTAGTAAGGTATGTGGAAAGTGGGAGCCTGCATACCCTCTACCTGCCTTAGATGGCAGAGGTGGCCAACTGTAGTTATGTGGGCTCAGTGTGCTAAGATCCTGAGTGTTCTCAAAAGAAGTCAGAAAAAAAATTTTTTTTAAACTTGATGTCTCCTGTGCTAGTCCACTTTCTGTTGCAGTAACAGAATACCTGAGACTAGGTACTCTGTAAAGAAAAGGAGGCTTATTCATTTCACAGTGCAAGACCAGGTGGCCCCATCTGTTTGGCCTCTTGTGAGACTTGACTGCATCATACCATGGCAGAGAAATAGAAGCACGAAGGAAAACCAGCCATGTGCAGAAGGACCAAGCACAGGGGTGGCCTTGCTTTATAACAACCCACTCTTGGGAGAGCAAACTAATCCCTTCTGAGAGTAGCACCCCAATGACATAATAATGTCCCACAGGCTCCACCTCTTAAAGGTCTCACATATACATAAACGTGGCCAAGATCCCAGCACATGAACCTCTGGGGACACATCAAACTATACCCAGACTGGAGCACTCCTTGAATTTCATGTGCTCCCAAAAATTTAAAACACTGGGTGGGCAAACAAAATCACTTTTGGGGAGACATAAGGACTGCGTATGACCACCTTTAGCTTAGCGCCTCCTAAAGGTGTCCAGTCAACAATGTGTACACAGTCTACTAGGGGCAAGGAGGAAGGAAAGCAGACCGATGCTTAGGTTACCCACCTGCCCTGCAATATAGCTAAGATTTTTCTCATGACTTGTGCTTTTCAATTATTAACTCTTTAGTCTTCGAACCAGCCTCAGTGGCTGTTAATAAACCTGTCATTTGAATGGCATTAGGTATCATTTTCTTTCTTATATGTATCAAAACTCATGGTGGACAGTGAGCTCTGGGTTTGGGGGAGGATTTCTCTTTAGCTGTCTGCAAGTCTTTGTTCACGAGTTAAACAAAAACAGGCACAAGTGCTACCTCATGTTACTTTAAGCTTAAATAGGTAGACAAAGACTAATAGGTACACCAAGACTAAGAAAATTAGCGATTAAACTACGTGCCAAGAGCCATATCATCCTCAGAATCTATTGTGTGTAAAAAGTAAGATGCTCAGCTCCAGGAGAAAGAGGAAATTCTAAACAGTTCTTACCTTCCAGGAGGAAAGTGGAATTTGATGCCTTGTTGGAGAAGCCAGTTCACTCTAGAGATAGAAACAAGTCCATGCAGTGTTGTGGGAATGTGGAGCCCATGGGAGTCAGAAGAGGAAGGAGATTGAACCACGAAGAGCACAAAAGGCACATGTACCAGTGGTGTAGACTGAGGAGTGATCAGACTGGAGGGCACATGAGAAAAGGTTTTTGTTTTGGTTTGGTTTTTTTGAGACAGGAGCTCATTATGTAGTTAAAGCTGGCCCTGAACTCACTACATAGCCCAGGCTGGCCTTGAACTTGTGATGATTCTCCTGCCTCAGCCTCCACGTGCTAGGATTATAGGTTGCCACCATACCCAGCTTGAGAAAGGGGTTGAAGAAGGCAGGGAAAATGGGACAGGATGCCTTTCCGTGTACTTACTCCTTGACTCACGACAGGGTTATGCTTCAATAAGCTTATCATAAATTGAACATACCTAAGTTAAAAATGCATTGAGTACCCCTAACTTCAGCATATCCTGTCTTAGCAACACGGTGCACTGTCTAGCCTCAGTTTTTTGCCTCGATGACTGGGAACTGCTGCTGCCCAGCGTCATGAGAGGGGATCATGCACGACACCCTAGCCTGGAAATTTCAAAATTCAATTGTTTTTCTGTGGGTGCTGGGGATGTAGTTCTCATGTGTGTCAGGCAAATGCTCTTCCACTGAGCTACATGCCCCTCAAAATTAATCTCAGAGACATAAAATAACATGCTTAGTGACAAACAGGGCTGGGAATTATGCTCAGGCAAGAAATTCCAGAACCTTCTGTAGTTTAACTTTACACACTGGCCCCATCAAAATGTGGTCCATTTTCTCTGTGGTGGAGTTGACCTTTGATGTTTACCATCGATTGAATATGAGTACATTGAAATATGATATTGTCGTGTAGATGCTTAAAGTGGAGCCTGTCCCTAAGGCAGTCATGCCGTATTTTAATTTGTTCAGAAGTCATCATAGCACTAGAGCTGGGAGCAACCTTTGTATGCATCTACCCAAGTGCTTTCCAAACTCTGAATTGCAACTTATTAACAGGTTGTGAAATGAACTTTTTAAACTGACATAGAATTTTTCGAAAGCAAGATGAAAATTAAAACTAAAGTGAAATAGGGTAAGAGTATATCACAGTGAAGTTTCTGTAGTCAAAGTATTGTTTTGTGAAGCTTATTTTAAGTTACCTAAGTCTAGGTGTGCCCTGTATCTCAATGTAAGAATCATTTTTTTAATCATGACTTATAGTCAGATGAAAACCATTGATCAAGTTGGTAATACTTAATGGTATTTATTCTATTTTCCAGGGTCTTAATCCTGGCTCTGTTAGAACCTTAAAGGCAAGATCTTGGTGTTAGTAACCATTACTAACCATTATTAGCACATACTAACCATTATGTGCTTACTGGTATCTGGGGTCATACGACTGATTTGCAGGGTCTCCTCCCTCTTCATTCCAGTGAACCCTGCTTTTATGGGAGAAAATAGCCCTCTCCACGATAATGGAACCCTCCCGTCATCCAGATGTGATTGGCACGAGTCATCTCAAGGTAAGGCTTTAATGGACTGTGATCCTAAAATCAGCCCGAGGGAAGGAACATATGCAAGGCAACCCAAATATGGCCACATCCTCTGGGCATGTGTGTTGTCAATACAATGCAGCATTTGTTTAATTTATCATGAAGAGTCTTTTCTTTCTTTTCCCTCCTTACTCCCTCCCTCCCTCCCTTCCTTTCTTCCTTCTTTTTTCCCCCCCCTCCATCCCTCCCTTTCTCCCTCCCTTCCTTTCTTCCTTCTTTTTTCCCCCCCCTCCATCCCTCCCTTTCTCCCTCCCTTCCTTTCTTTCCTTCTCTTTGGTGCTGAGAAATGAATCCACAGCCCCACATGCTAAGCACTTGCTCTTACCACTGATATTCACCCCCAGCCCTTGGAGCTTTATTTCAAATACGCAGTTTTTCTCTTATAGGTAGCAAGGTGTCATTAGGAATCTTTCAGGGGCAAGTGACAGAAACTCAGTTTGAATAGGCATTAGCCCTGGGGCATTAATTGGTTCACTTAGTGGGAAGGATATGGGAGAAATTTAAAGCACCTAAAGCAGCTGGGCGTGGTGGCTTTCACATGTAGTCCCAGCACTCAGAAGGCTGAGGCCGGAGGATCAGTGCCAGTATGAGGCCAGTACGGGCTACCCGATGAATCAAGGCCAACTTGAACTACATAGTAAAACTAGTGAAACTCTGTCTCAAAAAAAGAACCTAAAATAAACTACTCTAGCTCCTCATACAGTAACCTACATGTGCTAGGCATTTTAGAGATATTTGTTGGTTTAAGTTGTTGAGTGAGTTGGAGAAATCAGGGCCTAAGACTCTGACGTAAGGGCTCACCTGTGTTTGCTCGTTGCTGCATCCATTTCTCAGCTCTGCTCGACTTAGCTTCTCTATAAACTGGCTCTTCTCCATCTGGATCAGTCAGGCCATCAGCCCCGTGTAGAAACTGGTCAGCTTAGCTACTTTCCTTTCTTCCTGGTCTGTCCGTCAATGCCAGGGAAAGACGGGCCAGTCTATTTGGAGCGCATGCACCTGAACCATTCCCTTTTATTGTAGGAGACAAGATTGACTTTAACTATCAGGGAGAGGAAATGGCTTTAGCCTTCATAAGGCCTCCCTATGCAGCCAGCCTGAGGTTTGAGGGGAAAGTCCCCCCGAAAGCAGAGATAAGTAGTTAGATGGAAGATCTGGCTTTCTTTGCTGTTTTGTCTAGCATTGGTTTTTATTTTCAAACCACATACAACTAATTTATGGGTAGTTTCATGATAAAGTGTCACTTTAAGGGATTCTGCTGTGCTCCAGGAAGCCCCCCCACACATAGTGGGTGCTCATAAATATTCGTTTATAATTGAACGAATGAGACATCAGCATCTTGTTTCAGGAATGGGCCACAGTGAGGAGCCTAATCTGCCTTGAGTTCAGACCTGGGTTTGACTCCTAGCTCTACTACTTGCTGAGTGTGTGACCTTAGGAAAATCACTTTGCCGAGCCTCAGTTTTCTTAGCTATAAAATGGGGTTGATGACAGTACCTACTTCATAGAGTGATTATGAGAAGAAAATGATACACTCTGTTTAAGGTGTCGGTCTGCAGTAATAGTACGTATTGTTATGGCTAACTATCATTGCTGAGAGGAGTTCTTGAGTTCTAGTCCAATCCTGCCATTTAATGGGGTGTGATGAGGGAAGGGAGGTGTCAGTTCATGTCTCTGCTCCTCTGTTTCTCCAACCATTAAATAAAAAATACGATGTCTAAGTCAGGTTTATTGGACAGGAATTGTGTTCAGGTGTCTGATGCTGAAACAGAGCAATAGCTTTGCAATATTCTGCTTTATCTGTCTCTTCTAACAAGAAGAGTGGAGGGAAGAAACCCAAAGTTTCCAGCAGCTCCTCCCAAGACGCCTTCAAGGGCCAAAGTTCCTGGCATCTTTTCTCCGCCATTCTCGGTAGTTGAATGTTCGTCCTCTTGTTTTCAAAATGGCTGCTTCCAGACATGAACATGGAGAAATAGTGAAAGACAAAAGGTGAACCAGGCAAACTACCTCCTTTTAAAGAGCATCCATGGAAGCCACTTGTTTCATTGTCTAAAACTGGGTCACCTGTTATCCTTATCTGTAAAGGAAGCTGGTAAAAATCTAAAACTGAGTATAGTGACTGCCTAAGAAATTTGGTTTCTATTAGCATAGTGAAAAAAACAATATGGGGCTGGGAATTTAGCTCAGTGGTGCTGCCGCCTGCCCTGCAAGTGCAAGGTTCTGAGTTTGATCCCCATTACAAAAAAAAAGAGAAAAAGAACAGATGTTGGGACATGGACAAATAGTGTCTACCATCTGGGATGACCCAGGGATGACGGTTGAAAGACTATAAACTTACCTGGACTTTTACAGGCATAAAAAATTGTAAATTCTAAGTTAGAAGTGTCAAATTAAAAAAGAAAATCTTGCCATTTAACTGTCATTTAGAAGAACTCCCGTCTTCTGTTTCTAGAATCCCATTGTCTTCAATAGGGATTCTGTTTCTAATTTCTTACTTAGCTACCAGGACAGAATCCCTGCAGGAAGACACATCTCCTGAGAAGACTCCTCAGGGGACAGCTACTGGGAAGTTAGGCTGTGATTTTTTTGCGGAGCTGGCTGTGGTGATCTCATCGGGCATTGAAAAAATGTGAATGGAGCATTCTTCTATCATTGTCAACACCTGTCCCCCAGTGGGTCCCGGTGGGACAATGGCAGTGTGATTACCTGTGAGGTCTTCGAAGACCCCACAGGTAGACAATAAAGCTCCTAGGAAGCTAGAGATGCTGTCAGATAACCAAGTGAATGAAATCATCATAGAGGTTGAGAATGTTCCTTCTGGGATCCAAAGCCATCCCTCCTCAACTCAGATTATTCAAGACAAACCACTGGCCAATTCAGCCTTTAGCATGGTTTCATCAACATCTGCTTTCCATGTGAGAGACTCCCTGATTTTCAGCCACAGGAATGACAAAAAGCGCAACCAGTTGTTAGAATTGTCAACATCTATGGATGAACCGATTTCTCAGACCCTTCGAAGCCCAGAATGCCTGGGTATAGACACTGCTTGCAATTTCCATGAAACCATTCCAGGTATAAAACACTGGGGAAAAGTTAGGGCAGTAGCGGAGAAGGCTTCCAAGTTGTCCACAGGATCTTTGTTATTGTTTTGTGAGCTACATCCCCACCCTTTAAAAAAAATTTTTTTTTCAAGTTTGAGCTGTCTCACTAGGTAAGTCGCTAAGTAGTCCAGACAGGGAACTCACAGTCTTCTCTCAGAGTGCTGTGATTACAGATGTGCACTAACAACCATCGCTCATCCACTGAGTTCTTTATTTTTAGGACACCAAGGAACATGGGAGAACTAGCAGATGAAGTAAAGATATAGGGAATGGAGGGAGGAGGGATCACTGTGAGACCTCACTACTAACCAGAGCTTACCTTCATCCGTTTATTTTATGTGCCTTCTTTCTGTTAACCATCAAGGGTAGGTTTATTTACTTCCCACACTCTGCACCTTTAGGCAGTCATTTCCATTTGCTTAGTGAGGAAACTGAGGCTCAGAGAAACCCAGTGACCCAGCAGAAGTGGGACTAAATGCAGATCTGTTTAACCACCGAGCCCAAGTCCCTAACCATGACCCTGTCCTGCTTGGGGCTAATCCTTCCCCACTGTGGTTTCTGGGAATGTCGTAGGTAGGACACCTTTTCCTGCCACGTGCATCAAGAAATGAGATCTTAGCTGAGAATACCCAGCCTGGCTGCTCCCGAGGCCAACAAAAATGCTATTTCTGTTTCACTCCTCAGCACTCCAGGCATAAAAATCTACTAATTCTCAGGGGTATGTGGGAGAAGAAAATCCACTCAAGCATTTGGTGGGTTTTGCCCCACGCTGCTGTCTACCTGCGTTGCTGTTTTCCTTTATCTTCCCTTCTCTTTTCTTCCTCTCTCCTTACTTGAGAGACAAATTGTTCTCTCTCCCTCTCTTTTTCTCCCTCTTTTCCTCCGTCCCTTACTCCTTTCTTTCTTTGGTGGTACTGGGGATTGAACCCAGGGCCTTAGCACTGAGCTACATCCACAAGCCTTTTTTTGTTTGGCTTTGTTTTTTAATATTGAGACAGGGTCTCATTAAGTCACTAAAGTTGCCCAGCCTGGTCTCAAGCTTGCAGTCTTCCTGCGTCAGCTGAGGAGAGTGCTGGAACTACATACATGTGTCCTGCACCCACCTAAGGAAAATTTCACCTTTGGCAGAGTGACTTGCTGGCCTCTTTTGGGGATTCCTCTTGAACCTCAACTGTGTCATTAAAATGAACACAGTGTGTCCTCGTGAGGAGTTCCAGTTCAGTGATGAAAGCAAGGAGCCCTATACCTCAGCCATCTCCAGCCCTTTACTGCCCCAGCCTTTACTGCCCCAGGTGAGAGCAGCTCCGGGTATCATACTGAGCCACAAGATCATCCAGAGGAAGAAGAATCCATTGTTTCATTTTGTTTTGCTTTTTGTGTGCACACAGTACTGGGATTGAGCCCAGAACCTTGTGCCTGCTAGGCAAGGGCTCTACCACTGAGCTGTAACATAGTCCTGGTTTTTTTGTTTTGTTTTGTTTTGTTTTTTGTTTTCCTTCTGTTTTGAGAAGGAAGAAAGCTTTTTCCAAGAGACTTCTCTGAAGACCATTACTTGGAAAACAGCTTTGCCTAGACACCTTTGAGGAAGACCTGACAATTGGGACCTTGTGCCTGGGGATGGACCTGCCCTGAGGAAGCTTGGGAGGGAAGTGGGGTAGATTCCCAAGCACAGTTCTGCTATTTACAAGGAAGAATGACTTTGGCATAGGTGAGCAACAGGCTTTGCCTGCCACATTGGCCAAAAATGCGAATATGCGTTAGCAGGAGAAGAAGAGGGAGGTGGAAGAGTATATCACAGCAGTCGGACTGAGAATAAGCCACTTGTCCTAGAGTTCAAGGGCAAAAGGAGCAGTGTGGGAAATGAAAGTGAGAAAGAAAACATGGCCTGGGCAGGTACAAAGGCACCCTGTTAGCTTTGCTGAAAGGCATTTGTTTATTTATTTGCCACAGGTAAGAGAAAAACATTGAATTGCAATAGAGCAAAAACGTTGTCCTTTGCTTTAACTTTGTGCTTTAACACATATGTGTCTTCTTGTTGTTTTTACTTGTAATCTTTGGAATCCCTGGGTCCATATATTATTCTCTCCTTGTGCTCTTATAAAAACATGCTCTGATTTCATCGCCATATTTTGAAATGTTATAACTCTGTTAAAGATGGAAGAAATTAAACTCCATTCATTTCCTTTTGCAGGGCAAAAGTTAATTGCATCCCTGATACCCATGACATCTAGAGAGAGAATTAAAACCATCAGGAACCAGCCAAGGACCATGGAGGAGAAAAGGAAGCTTAGGTACAAACCAAAGATTTTCTTTTCTCTCAGATTTTATGTGAACCTCAAACTTTTACTCCATCTCAGAAAGATAAGAAATAAAGTGCAAGGACCTGAGTTCGATCCCCACACCCCCCCAAAGAAAGATAAGAAATAAATAAATGCAAGAAAACAGACAACTCTTCCTTGCAGAAGAACTCCAAAAAAATCTACTTAGATGTTTATGTGCCATCGTTAGCTTTTTAGTTTTGACAAACAGCGCTGAAAAAATATGATGTTATCAGAGAAACTGCTGAGTGGCGAATGGGAACTCTGTCGTTACTTTAGTAGTCGTCAGTAGAGTTCAAACAACTCTACAATTTAAAAAATTCACTTAAAAAAAGAAAAGGAGATCTGTGAGCTTTCCAAGCCCAGAAATTAAAAAGAAAAAGAAAGACGAGGGTTGTTTTGGCTTTTAGACTTCACATTTATTTCTCCTAAAAAAATTTTTTTGGAGGTTCTGGCAGGGAACTCGGGGCCTCCAGAAACTTGGGCATACGAAGCAGGTGCTGTACCACTGAGTTAGACCCCCAGCCCCTCTTTTCTCTTTTTTTGTAACTTGCAATTGTTGGCAACCACAGCTGCTGATAAATTATACAGTGATCCAGTTTTTTTGGAGGCAGACTTTGAGATCGCAAAGGTACGTTTCAAAGCCTGGTAGCGGGGATAGATTTGTCAACAAGTAACTTAGAAGTGGCTGAAAGAAAATCAGGCCAAATCAAGGAAGGAGAGAGAGCAGTGGGAGGACCAGGGAGCAGGGACACAGTTTGCTGGGGCCGGAAGGGGCGTTTGGGACACACATTTAAAGAGGATGTTGTAGGAGTGAGTGACTGAGAAGAATGAAGGGAGCCAGGAAGAATTAGGATGAACAGACCTGTGAGTCTGTGGAAGGACACAGAGAACAACTGTGATTGTGTCTGTCTCAAAATACTCTTCAGTTTCAAGCTCCGTGTAGTCCCCGTGTCACCGAGTAGGGGCCAGAAGGCCTTCCTGGGGACTGCTCAGCCTCAGTACAGCTGGCATTGTGGGGCTGCACCATTCTTGGTTGGGGCTCTTGCCTGTTCCTTGGAGGGGTGGCTAGCAGCATCCCCAGCCTCTTCCTCGTAGCTGTCAAAAGCATCTCTCTCCCCACCCCCATTTCCAGTTCAACCAAAAAGTCCCCAGACATTGCCACTTGCCCCCCAAGGGTCAGGCTCACCCCAGGCTGAGAACCCCGGATGCTCAGGGGCAGCCCCACCACATCCTCCTTCACATCCTCCTCCTGTTCCTCTGTTCCCTCTGTTCCCTCCGTTCCAGCCACTCTGGCTCCTTGCCTCTCAGCCTCGTTTGAGGTTCTGTGCTGTTTCCTCTGTGGGATTTTCCCTCATCTGTGCGACTAAACCCTCCTCTCCCTCAGATAGGAGGCTGCCTTGCCGTGATGCTATTTCAAGAGTCTCCACACTGGCATTTCCCACCCTTTCACCCACTCTGTGTGCTCTAGTGCAAGTCACTTTCTCCTATTTCCCGCTTTACTCCTTTGGTCACTGTGTTAATTGGCAGTTGTCTTTCTCTTCCGACTAGAACGTCAGCCCCACTGGCCAGGGGGAAAGTGGTCTCTTTTACCTCCTAGTGGGACCTTTGCTGGCACATAGTGGGTGCTCAGTAGCTATTATTCAAGTGAATGACGAATGAATGAGCGACAGTGTTGGTGTCCCGCTGTTTCCTGCCTATCCCCCCAGGAACATAGTTGACAAAGAGAAAAGTAAACAGTCCCATCGCACGCTCCGGCTCAAGTGCTGTGCTCAGTATCTGAACTCCTTTTCTCGGGTAAGTCACATTTCTTTCTTTAAATTTTATTTTTTGATCAACATGTCATAACTACCTGTATTAGTGGAATGTGGTGTGATAGTTGAACACATTAATGCAGGATGCAGTGATCAGGTCAGAGGAGCGTTTCCCTATCCTTATCATGTCTTTTGTGTGTGTGGTACTAGGGGTTGAATCCAGAGTCCCTCCATACCCCCAGCCCTCTTTATTTTTGTATTTTGATATAGGGTCTCCCTCAGTTGGTGAGTTAGCCAAGCTGGCTTGAACTTGCAGCTCTCCTGTCTCAGACTCCCAGAGTGCTGCGATTATAGGCATGTGCCGCCGTGCTTGGCCACCTCTTCATTTCTTCTCCCTTCTCTCCTTCTCCCTTTTCTTTCTGGAGCTGAGGATGGAACCCCAGGGCCTGGCATGTACCCAACATACACTTCTCCATCCCTTTCTTATCCTTGGTCCCTTTGAGCTTGTGTCTTCTAGATCTTTGTAAAATATACAATAGGTTATTATAAAGGATCATCGCCCTACCATATTGCAAAACACCGGCACTTATACTCTTATCTGTGTTTTGGTACCGATTTTTCAACCTCCCTTTAGCCTTGCTCCCCCAAACTCTTCTGAACATCTTGTAATCACTGTTCAACATTTAGACAAATTTGAGCTCCCGTGTATGAGGGAATATAAGGTCTTTCCGTGCTTGCCTTATTTCACTCGACAATATCCTTTAGTTTCATCTGTTTTGCAAATGACAGGATTTTGTTCTTTTTTTGGCTGTATAATATTCCCTTGTGTATATGTCCCATCTTCTTTATCCATGCATCCACTAATGGACCCCTAGGTTAATTCTACATATTGGATATTATGAATAGTGCCTCAGCAAGCACGGGCCTGCAGGTATCTCTTTGGTATACCGATTTCACTTCCTTTGGCTAAATACCCAGAAACAGCCGGGCTGGGTCAAGTAGTAATTCTATATTTAGCGTTTTGGGGACCCTCCAAAATGGGTGTACTAGTTTACATTCCCACTCTAAAACAAGCCCGGCGAGCAGGTGAAAACAAGAAATGCAGAGCGTGAGGATGGAGGAGGGCAGGGGAGAAGAAAATTGAAGAGCTAGGGCTATTTCATACCCAGAGCCATCAGGTCACCATGGGTGCGGGGACAGGAAAAGCCGTGGAAAGGTCTAGGAGGACACGGAGTCAGCCAGCCTGACAGTGCAAGCATCACCATCTCCAACAGCAAGCTGGGGCAGGTGACAGCAGCGGAACCTTAGAGGGTGGCTGAGCGCAGCTTTGTAAACGCGGGGCTCACCGTGCGGGGACGCATGCGCCGTGTTGCAGAAGCGGTGGTTGTTCTGTTGTTAGGCACCTGCTGGGGAGATCCTTGTTGACTGACTGTCAGACCTCTGCTTTCCAACCCCAGGGTTATCGGAGATCCAAGAACAGTCTTTCCGAGCTCCTCAGTTCCATCAGCTTGTGGCAGAAGACGCTCAAGGTCATCGGAGGCAAGTTTGGAACCAGCGTCCTCTCCTATTTCAACTTCCTGAGGTGGCTTTTGAAGTTCAACATCTTCTCCTTCGTCTTGAACTTTAGCTTCATCATAATCCCTCAGCTTACGGTGGCTGAAAGGAACACGCAGCAGTTCACCGGGCAGGAATTTCTCACTGGGGCGGTGAGTTCCACCACCTGGGAGATCCGGGGAGGTCCCTGGGGTCACCCACCCACTGTGCCTGGAGGTCGACAGATGGGGAAAGGGGGTGTTTAAAATATTTCCCTTTTGCCCAAGTAACACAAAGGTGACATTGTGGGATTTCTGTCCCCAGAGGTAAACACCCGTCACAATTATCCACCTGCCTCTTTTTTTGCACAAGTGTGAAGACATGTTTGTTTTTCCACAGGCAGCCCTTTCTTTCCTTTTCTTTCCTTCCAAGAAGTGAATTATTCATTATATGTTATCTGTGCCTTGCTCTCTTTCACCTAATGATAGTGGACCTCTTCTCGTGCTGGAGATCTGTGTTTTGGCTTTTTTTCTACAAAATACAGTGTTCCTTTGGGAAAATTTCTACCATCATGAAGAACTAAGAAAAGGTCCACTTTATCTCTTTCCTTGTGTACCCCCCGAGCTTCGGGTATACCTTTGGAGACTGCTTTTTTCTCCCTAGGCAAACCCTGATCAAGCTCTCTGTGTCCTAGATACGTGGATAATGATTCTTTTAGAAATAAAAGGAAAACCAGGCATGGCGGTACACACCTGTCATCCCAGAACCAGGGGACTGGGGGCTGAGGGAGTGGGGTCAAAGTCGGAACCCAATCTGGGCAGCTGCGTTACTTAGCAAGGCCCTGTTTCAAACTAAAAAGTGAAAATGGGATGGCGATGTAGCTCAGTCCAAAGGCCCTGAGTTCAATCCCCACTACTGGGGACAGCGAGAGAAGGGGAGAGAGGGAGAGAAAAGAGAGAGGTACAGAAAGTGCGAGAGTGCGAGAACCCATGAGTGAAGGGGAAGGCGAAGAGAGACAGGAGGAGGCCTGGGGTGGGAGCTCGGGGACAGCCCACGCCTAGCTCGGAGGAGGCGCTGGGACCCATCCCCAGCACTGAAAAGAAATTAATTAATTAAAATTAAAAGCGGCACAGGATTATTACCACTTGAATTGCACCTTTTTCTGCCTGACTATACAGCACGAACATTTTTAGAAATCTACATCATTCTCAAGCCGGGCATGGTGGCGCACGCCTGTAATCCCAGCACTCGGGAGGCTGAGGCAGGAGGATCGCTGTGAGTTTGAGAACAGCCTGAATTACATAGTGAGTTCCAGGTCAGTCTCAAGTACATAATGAGACCCTGCCTCAAAAAAACCAAAACACGCAAACAAATCTACATGATTCTCTTTAACCATGACCATAATTTATTTACCCAGCTCCCTACTGAAGCACCTAACCTTTGTCTCAAGAGTTAACCTGAAAGACACTTCTGCCCCTGAGAGCCTGTAGAACAGGATGGCGAAACTAAGTCCTCGAGCCAGATCCAGTCTTTATAAATTATTGAAAAGGCTCAAAAAGGAAAAAATTATGAAACAAGAAAACATTAAGAAATTCAAACTTTGGCGTCTGTAAAGTTGTTTTGGGGGGCACGTTGCACCCATTTTGCTTCTTATCCCGAAGTAAGAAATTTTTATGCTAGGATGAGGGTGAGTATGTGTCAAACCAGCTTGGAAAATGGAAGCTGTCTGCTATCTAGCTCTTTACAGAAAAGGTTTCTGGGTCTGGAATTTAGCTCTGTGATTCTGCCGCCTGCCTCGCAAGCACAAGGTCCTGAGTTCGATCCCGGGTACCAAAAAAAAAAAAAAGAAGAAGAAGAAGCTTTTTGATCCCTGCAGTAGAATGTCCAAAGTAAAGTTCTCCCGCTTGTCTTTCTCCCCTTTTCCCATTAAAATAAATCTTACTTCAGAGAGATGCTGTAAAATGGAATTACTGTGTATACTTCTTCATTTTATTCCTTCTCCTTCAAACACTATATACAGTTGTATATAGGAAAAATTACTACGAAATATTCAAAGCATACAGGAAGATAAAGAGTATAATAAACTCCCATTAGAGCCACTACGTGGATTAAATTTTTCCATATTGTTTTATTTTACTGTTTCTGGAAGCATTTGAAAGTAAATTGTAGATGTCAGGACATTTCACACTGAAATTCTTCAGCATGCTGAAAAACAAGAGCGTGTTTCTACGGTTATAATACCCTTGTGACACACACTAAAGCTAATATTATTTAAAAACCCAGATATGTCGACTGGAAGGCTTCAGGTGTTTCCTAGTGAACCTGTGTGGTCGCAGTAACAAACAGGTGACAGACACACATAACACTGGCCGTCCTGCTTTTGGTCATGTTTTGCTTGGTTGTTTGAGTCCAGTTGGTAACAGCTAGGTCCCTGCACTGTCAGGTCTTGTTTCAACTCTTGTTTCTTGTGAGAAACTTCGTTGGTCCTCAGGGGTCTCCGGAGCCTCTTTTCTGACAAACTACAGTTGGTCCTCTGAATCTGCATATTCTGACTTGTTGGATTTAATGAACCACCATTTAATTAAATGAAAAAATGTATCTGTCCTGAACATGGGCAGATTTTTCTTGTTATGCCCCGAACCATACAGCTATTTGCATGGTATTAGATATTGTATACAGAGATGACTTAGAGGATGTGGAAAGATGTGGGCACGTAAAATGCAAATACTCTGCCACTTTCCAGAAGGGACTGAAGCACCTGCAGACTTTGCTATCTGTGGGGGCCCTCAGACTGCTCCCCTTCAGATACCAAGGGATCGCTGCGAATGTGTACACTGACTGGCCCAAGCTTCCTGCAGACTGAAGAGGCCAACGGCGTGGACCACCCTCCTTCACCTTTTTCTCGAGAGACCCACCTGACAGGGATCACTTTATTGTCCTCTGCAGGGCTACTTCACAAAAACAGTGATGTACTATGGCTTTTACACCAATTCAACAATCAGGCACGGGAGCAGTGGGGCGGCCTATGACATGCAGCTGGCCTACATCTTCACAGTCGCCGCATGCCTGGTCATCTGCTTCTTCAGTTTGCTTTACAGGTATGGAGCTTTCGAGGCTTATTGGAGATTTAGGCAAAATCCAAGAAACTCAAAAATTATCCCCGAGTCACACCTTCTCTGCAGTGTGGACTTTCTACCGCCGCCTAATCATTCCTTGTCCTACAGAAAAAAGTCTGAGTGCAGCAGAAAGAGAGGTTTATGTGCACCTTGGAAGCCATGGGCAGTGTGAAAGGAAAGATGGGACAACCCAAGCAAGCAGTGGCTGGACAAATGTCAGAGAGGAAGTGCAGATTGGAAATACACACAGAAAATGTGTTCAATCTCTAGTCATTTGTTAGGTGTGCTGTATCAAAATACAGTGATACCTCAGTTCATGAACTTAATTATCTCCATGATTCCGGTTGTAAACTAAACTGGATGAGAACCAAATCAAATCTCACCGTAAGGTCAACATTGAACTTAACCGTTGAATTTGACTTGGTTCTCGTCCAATTCTTGTGACCAGAATTATGGAAAGAATCAAGTTCAAGAATCGAGGTGCCCCTGAACCGCAGGGTGGGTGGCTTAAACAAGGGAGATTTATTTCACAGTTCTGGAGGCCAGAAGTGTAAGACCAAGAATCAGCAGGGTTTGATTTCTTCCAAAGACTTCTCTCCTTCATTTGAAGGTGGCTGTTGCTATAGTTTGCATTGGGAATGTCCCCCAGGGGTGCGTGTACTAAAGGATGAGCCCAGCTTGGCAAGACTCAGAGCTGTGGAATTTTTTTTTCTTTTTTTTGGCAGTTCTGGGGATTGAATTCAGGACCTTGCATTTGCAAGACAGGCACAGTGCCACTGAGCTAATCCCTGGCTCTCTGAAAACTTGAAGAGGTGGAGCCTAGTGGGAGATCCCGCAGGTCTGGGAGTGAGCCCTCAAATGGACTGTGGGACAAGGCAAAGGAATGGATTCCTCCCTGCATCCTCCGGAAGGAGCACAGCTTTGCTTTTGAGACCCATTTGCTGACTTCTGAGTTGCAGAAGGATAAGATAATAACTTTGTGCTGTTTTAAGCTGCGAGGTTGGTAATTTGTCATAGCGGCCAACTCTCACAATGTCTCTGTGAGGTGGACACTGGTATTATCCTTATTACACAGATGTAGAAACTGAGGCTTAGAATGGTCAAGGATCCCACCACTGTCAAATCCAGGATTGGATCACAAGCCAGACCTGTCTGTTCTAAAGCTTCTTGACCTTTAGTTTTGTTCTCATGCTGCTTTGGGTCAAGATCTTAAGGCTCCACCTCTGGTGCTGCCTTTCTCTCTGAATGGTAGGACGTCCTTTGGCTAATCCCTGTATCGCCACGCCCGTCGTGTAACCTGTGGCTGTTTGGGTTTCTTCCTTCCCTAGCATGGCCACGTATTTCCGGAACAACTTCATTAACCCTCACATTTACTCCAGAGGGATCGCTAAACTTATCTTCTGCTGGGACTTCACTGTCACTCACGTAAAAGCTGTGAAGCTAAGGCAGAAGAACCTCAGCACGGAGATAAGGGTAAAGCATGCTCACCCCACCCAGTGTCTTCCTGTGGCCCCTCTCCTTCCCTCCTATGTCTACAACTGCTTAGAGTAAAAAGAATTACCTTTCTGTTGTCTGTGAGATTGTTTAAAAAAAAAAAAAAAGGGTATAGGGCCGAGGGTTTAGCTCAGCGGTTCTGGTGCCTGCTTTGCAAGCGCAGGGACCTGAGTTCTATTCCTGGTGCCAAAAAAAAAGGTATATACTCATAATACTCTTGACCTCTTATTAGGATGGTGTAGGGAAATGGGCATTTTCACGGGACTTCAGAGATCACTAAATTGGTACAGACTTCCTTGAGGCCAGTTTAACAGTTTATGTCAAAATATTAAGATGCCTCCCTTGCCAAGAAAGAGCCCATGATCTCAGCATGCTGTCCTCAACAGCAGGGTCCTGTTCTATTACTTCTGCCTGCTTCTCAGAGATGGGGATGAGTTGGATGTAGATATGGTGTTTCTTGGTCATTTTGAGATTCTTCCATCATCCAAGTTCCTCGTGAACTTTCCCCTCCCTCCCACCTACAGATCCGGGCCAGGGATCTTTGCTAACGCAGGAGAGCCACCTGTGTGCCCACTTGACTTTATTGCCTTTGCAGGAGAACTTGTCGGAGATCCTCCACGAGAATGTCAAGTTCACATTCCGCCAGCGGCTGGCCCGCTTTTCTGCTCACCTGGCAGCCTGGCTTGTCTCAACGGGAATGGCTGGCGCCTGCTGTGCAGCTGTGTATTACCTGGCTCAGTACAACTCTGAGGTAAGCAGAACACTGGGGAGAACCAGGTGAAGCGATGGCCTGATGGAGGGGGACAGGGATGCCCCCTGTTCAAGCCAGGGTCTGTGGCCAGCGGGAGGAAGTCCTGGCCCACGGACTGAGAATCTGCACCTAAGCAGGGCCCCCCCCAGGTGGTATGAACTCTGGTTACCGGGCAAGGAGCTGTGGGCTGGTGGAGAGACGGAAATTTGTACCACAGACCTGAGATCCAAATTCTCAGTTTTTTCTTTACTGCTCGGTTCCTCCTGCCACCCACTGTGCCTGGCCTAAGTCTGGTGAGCCCGTGAGCTCTGGCAGGTGATTTAATCTTTCCAAGCCCCAGCCGGGAGTGGTCCTACATGGCTTTGTTAGGTGTGTGGTCAGGAAGAGAGAAAAGCTGGGCTCTGGGACATATTAAGGTCACTGTGGCGCAGTCCTGTTTTTTGAAGGCTTCAGACTACACTACTCGGCTAATTTTATCCACTTTTCCAGCCTACAGAATCGGAGGGCAGGTTGGTCTGATTATATCTCTTTCCGTAATAGCTTCCCATTAGTCTCCATATAAAATCTAGGGCTAGGATTCCAGCCCAGTGATACAGCGTGTGCCTCACATGCCAGAGGCCCTGGACTGGAGCCCCACCCTACCCAAGGCAAACACACACACTGTCCTCCATAGCACGATTCATGGCTGTTTTATGACCTTATCTCTGCCCACATCTCTAGCTCCCACCCCCCACTACCCATATCCCAGTACATGGTTTGCTACATGCTTATACTCACAGTTCTTTGAACACACGATGCTTTTCTTCCTTCCAAGATGGACAACTCTTGCACACTGTAACTTCGTTTACCTGGAAAACTCCTGCCCTTCCTCTAGACCTTACCATGGATGTCACCTCCTCCGGGGGGCCTTCCCTCACCATCCCTGCTGCCTCTTCCTGGTCTGAGTTGAATGTGTGTGACTCTCCGGGCTGGTTCTGTACAACTTGTCACACACGGCGTTAGAGGTGCCTGCCCGTGTGTCTGTTTCTTCCCATCTCCTGACTTAATAGTTGGTATAGAGAGGAGCTTACAAACGGATGAAGAAGCAAGAAGCCAGCAAAAAAGTGAACATGCAATTGGGTGTGGTGGTGCACACCTGTGTTTCCTGCTCTCTGGGAGGCTGAGGTGGAGAGAGGACCTGCGCCGAGGTCCTGAGTCCAGTGCTCAGAACCGTACACACGGGATGTGGGACTATGCAAACCCGGAGGTTTGCTGCTGGCCATGTTAAGATCTGCCCTGAAAGAGGGGAAATCAAGTTACAATCCTCATAGGCCGGCCTTGCGTACTAGGGTGGTGCTTAATAGCTGTGGCCAGGCAGCTGCAGGTGGAAAGAGGGTTTCTCACTTTCCCTTTTGCCCTGAAACGAAGGGGTCAGCTAAGAAGAGGGGATAGCAAAGTGGAGTCCTTCCCACTGTTTGAACATCTGCCCGGTGCCAACCTGTCGCACACCAGTCCCTGGTGACTTCTACTTCATGTCAGTGGGGTCACCATTTAGCAGCACTGGGGCCAGACTGCCAGGGCAGCTTCTGAGCCATCCAGGGGCAGACAGAATCACAGACTAGCCTTGGGAGGAAGAGGAAAGGGGATTGTGAGACATCAGATAAATCCGCTGCCCCTCTCATCCAAGACCCGTGGAAAGGGCACCTGGCCGAAGATAGCTCGGGTTGTACCCGGAGCCATTGCCAGAGCCTGAGTCGGCCTAGAGGAAGGACGTCACACACAGACGCAGTGTGGGCTAGCTGGGGTGCCCCTGGACCCCATTTCCATGCTGGGGAAAACGCACAAGGTCACACAAGAGAGGACGTGAGGTTCCATAGGGACCAATGTCTTTGCACTGCGGCTATGGTGTGCCTGGGCCTTTGCATTCGGTGATGCAGGCAGAGTCCCAGAATGGCTCAACACATCTACATTCAGATCTGCCCCTGCCTTGCTGGTGACCCGAGGCAAGTGTCTTTGCCTCTCTGAGCCTCCATGTGCTTGGCACAGGTTAAATGCTAAAGAAATGGAAGCTTAGTAGTGAACCCCACAGGCGCTGCCACTGGGCCTTCCCCGTGACGCATCTCTTCTGAGTGAGGCAGAGAGGGTGCAGTGCCTAGCAGGCATCTTGGTTCTCTCCTCCATCCTTGCAGTTCCTGAGGACGCACAGGGACCCCTGGGCAGTGCTGTTACTGCCTTTTGTGGTGTCCTGCATCAATTTGATCGTGCCGCGCCTCTACTCCATGTTTGGGCTGGTGGAGAAGTACGAGATGCCCCGGCACGAAGTGTACAACCTCCTGATCCGGTAGGTGTGTCTGCCACACCCAGCAGCAGCCTCGTTTCCATGGAGTTAGAGAAATTAGTTTAGCCGGGAGGGCG